CGAAACCTTATATATAATTTAAATTGGAATATAGTCTTGATTGCGATTGTGTTTCTGGGTTCTCTAACTGGATAAACAAATATATGTCAGCATTGTGGTATATTGGATTAATTAAGACAACCAACTTTTGGCATCTCGTTAATATGAAGATAGAATCCAAGACGAAAAGGTGTTTTAGGTATTGAGCAATTTTAAACGCATTTTCCTATTTCTTAAAGAAGGAGAAATTGTAATCAAATTGTAAAATTATATATTCGACTTTTTTTACTTCGGAGATTGCATTCATTCATGGCTTTCTTGACCTCTTTTTTTTATAATTTACCTTGCATATCTTCAGATGAAAATATACTCTTTTGCATGAACTCTAAATTAATTATGCTATGCATTAGCTAACAAGTAGGCTTAAAAATGCAGTCTACATAATTTTCTCTGAATCAATTTGCTGAAAATTTCGTTTTATGGTATCTGTGTTATTATTCATGCTATAATTCTATTTATATTTCTCTTTGTCCACTTTCATCTGGTTAATCTATGATTTATGAGATTAATTTGCCCTATTCCGTTTAAGGTGATTAGGTATTGGTAATTGAATTTTCTCACATTGAAATGAGTAGAGCTGAAGGCTCCATTGAATTTCGCATAGCCTTTCTTACTCAAAAGGTGTTGTCATCCAGGGTGGACTGCAGTCTCGATCTTGCCTTAGTGTTATCAATACCACCAACAGAACTCGAATCATGACATCGCACCGTGAAATCTTGACACGTTAAACATTACGCCACATTGCCACGAGTTCTCCTTGATCACAGGGCGGATGTGACTTTCAAGGAAGACTACGTAAGGTCTACTCGTATCATTGTGGGAAAATTCAATTACCAGTCCTTCATCACCTTAAACTAAATAGGATGAATACATCTCATATAACTGATTTACTGGTATCCTCGAAACCCTACTTATAAACAAAAAATAATTTATGTTTTATCTATCACCTGCCTTAAATTTTAAGTTCTGCTTTTCTCTATCAGACTATTTAAGTTTAACCTTTACCTATTTATTAATATTTACGTTACACTGCATCCATTATTAATCTCTTTGTTTTCAAAGATTCTTCTACATTCTTTGGATTTCAGGGCCACTCTAACTTTGCTTTTGGCGCAACATGCGCGCATGCCAACACCTCAACCTTGGGCCTCTTTGTTCCTGGTTGCACTCCTATTCACCTGCCCACATCACACAGCCAAATTAACCTGCTTACTTCACCAAGATTGGAAAACATTGAGATTGGAGTAGCTGAATCACCTTCAGTCCAAGCTCCTGTTCCATGCCTCAGTGTGTCTACTTATGTAGGTGGTCAAATTGCGCCGCCCACTGATATTGAGTCTGTTATTGGTGGAAATGTTAACACGAGTCAGCCATCTGGAACTGAAATCACTCTTCTGGGTAATGCAACCACCTGCACGACATCTTGTTCAACTTCGTCTTCAATGCCACATTCAACGTCAACAAAGTCTTTAGCATCAGAAACAATTGCTTCAGGCGCACTTCAGGCTACTGGATCCATTTTACCTGGGATACCTGGACTTGAACTGCCTGGTCTTCATGTGGCTTCAACTCATGCTGCCCAGGATGGCTCATATACATATTCCACGCATTATTTACAAGGCAACTCTTTGCCACCTGGACCTGGGAATGGAACTGTTAATGTAATCGGGCACAGTGTAGCTGGTATAGGTGTTGCATGCGCTGGTGGAGCAAGTGGCCAGGTTCCTGGGCTGACTACTTCGTCCACCGTCAACCTACAACCTCAGACATGGGCAACTGGAAGTAGTCTTGTCACTCTTCCAAGGTATTTACTTAGCATTCCCATTTATTTTTGTGTACTTTTTACAACTTAGTATTTAGTTTCATCTAAATTATATGATATTTTCGAAGATATGCAGACCAAGATGGTGTGGTCTTTTGTGTGGTCGCAGTCTACTTACGTTGTGTAGAGGTTGCTTGACCTTGTTTTCGCAACTTGTTCATATTGGTATGATTAATTAGACGAACGAACCTAGTCCGGAGTCCATTGTATGCATGATAATTTCCAAAGTCGGTCCGTGGACGTAGTATATTCCCAGACGTTTCACCGGCATCGTAGTCGGCATTGTCAGTAAGTTTTGCCATTCTTAGCACCGCACAACAACTCGTCAAAGTGACAAGTGAAGCCAATCCTTTGAGCAAACGCGTGCCTAACAGTTGTGGTATCTCTCCTTCTGCCCGGGGCTATTCACATTTCCTATATCCTCGTATCACGCTTTCACTGTTACAGTTTTTTACTGTGCTAATTTACATGTAGTGTGGTGACAAACTTGATTGCTCGGGAGTTTATCGCATTAAATGCGGCAACGGTGAGCAGAAGTATATCGGTTAGACAGCTAGAAAAATCGGCATACGAATCAAGAAACATCAAAGACTCTGCAGGAACATGGATACAAAAGATCCGAAATAGCGGAACACATTGCGCGAACAGGGCACGAAATCGACTGCAAATCAACCGAAAAGCTGGCTGCATATGATGAAAATACGAGAAAACGCAAGATCCGAGAGGCCATCGATATACTGACCGAGAGAAATCTAATGATTAGTAGACTTGAAGAAGGCAGGATAAGCGAAAACTGTGCATATTGCTTAAACAAACTCGGATAAGACTAGGTAACAGTAAGATCAGCAAAAAAGAAGAAGACTGGATCAAGGTAATATCCGTAATTTTAGGAAAAGAGATCGCAGGGGGATGAGAAAGGAACAATCATAAGAAAATAGGAGACGTCATTAGTGAGCCTAATCAAAACAAATAGAACCACGACATTTGTGGGTTGCACACAAGAGACTAGGAAATAGGGAGTGATAGACATGATATTATGGATAGAAACAGTATAGACGCGGTCGAGACTAAAGCTATTTGGCTAACAATAGACGTGTTTGATTATAGACTTGATCCATGAAGAACGTCAATTTTGGTTTTCAACATTGAACCTAATCAAAGCAAACAGTACCACAATATTTGTGTGTTGGCACACAAGAGACTAGGGCATATGGCGTCATAGACTCGGTATTAGGGATAGAAACAGGATAGACGCGACGGAGACTGGATCTAGTTGGCTGACAGTAGGTTTTACCATAAACGTGGTCCATGTAGCAAAGGCTAGGCAATGAGACTATCTCAGAGGCTTTAGCCTCGAATTAGTCACCCAGACGCAGGGGTGGGCGAATAACGCCTCAAGTAGCACAGATAGAGGGGCAGGGGTCGAGTCAAATACATGTACCAGGGAGATAGCAGACTGATCCTACGGGGCAAGACCTAGGGAAGGAGGACTGCGTAACAATATGTCAGACTCTAATTAACATTCCCAGCACAAGGGTGGAGGGGGGGTGAGAACGCCAGCGTGGAGTGTAGAGTGTTCTCATTAAAGCCGATCAAAAGGGCACACCAATATTAAATAAGCGAGAAAAAATTGTGATAGTGAAGGCGTGATACGAGGACATAGGATTGGTGGATACCCCAGGACATAAGGAGATATACCACAACTGCTCAAAGGATCGGCTTCACTTGTCTCTTTGACGAGTTGTAGTATGGTGCTAAGAATGGTAAGACTCACTGGCGATGCCGGTGAAACGTCAGGGAATGTACCCCGTCCACGGTCCGACTTTGGAAATGAGCATGCAGACAATGTACTCCGGACTAGTTGCGTTCCTCTAAGTCTTCCTACCAATATGATCAAGTTGCGAAAACAAGTTCATTAAACTTCTATAGAACGAAAGGAGACCGCGACCACACAAAAAGCCACACCATCTTTGTTTTCATATCCTCGATTAAACTAAGGCGGATTGTCTAGGATTTGTGACTTGTATTGTGCTAAGAAGTTACCAGTGAGGATTCTTGTGACTCCGACGAATCCGTGCTCAACTTTTCTTCTTCATGTGATAAACATCGTTTAAGAAGGTTATGTAGAAAAACTTTTTTGAAGAATCCCTTAATAGATTGATGTTGAAATACCGTTCATTTCGTTTGAAGAGGCAAGTGGAAGGGATTAGTAAGTTAGTTCTACCGGAAGCTGTAGGGGGAATGCCTTGGAGCTGTGATTGTAGATTTGTGTGAATAGGTCCTCGGCGCATCGCCCTGCGACCCCTATGAATCCTTGCTGAGCTTGCGTCCTTTACGTGCCGCGCATCGTCAGACAATTGTGTAACAAATGTAGAACTGGGAAGTGGAAGATGAGCACGCTTCTTCAACGAGATGTTAGTCCTCCAAATTCATATGGCCTGCCCAAAATACATAAATATGGACTCCAACTTATAATTAATAAGAATAATAAGGGAAGTGTGATGCATGAAACATCACGATTTGTTTATAACCAGTTCAAGCGAATCTTCGAGGCGTGGAAGGTTTCAGTTATTAATTGTTATGAATTCGTTAACTTCATCGACGAGCAGGAGATAGAAAGTGGAGATTTGCTGGTAAGTTTTGATGCTGAGTAGACGATGTCATACAGGCCCTGCAATCCACACGTGTCTAACACGCGGAAATTTTAAGGAATACGATGCTAAGTAAAGTGTCAACAATGGCACTGACCAACCTGGCGATGCACTGTACACATTTTACCTTCAATGGTAAACTGTATAAACAAACACGGGGTTTAGTTATGGAATCATGTCTGTCACCAGTTTTAGCAAATATTCATGAACGCTTAGGTAAGGAGGAACTTTTAGTCCCCATATTATTGGTTCACTTTGAGGATGACTACTTTGCTGTTTGGCAACATGGCAAAGGAAATCTAAAGAATTTCCTTGCTTTGCTGAACAGGATCGATGAGAAGACTAAATTCACCATCAAGTTAGAAAATGAAGGGGATTTACCTAGTTAGCAAAGAGGGGACCAGATTAGGCAGAGCTGTACATAGGAAACCCACAAATGCAGGTTTCCTCTTGAATTTTTTTTCAACCATACTTATAGAAGATATGAAGACCAAGATGTTGTGGCCACTGGTATGGTCGCAGTCTCCTA